CTTCCCTGGCAAGTGCGAGGGCCTGAGTCCAATCCTGGTTCTGCAAAAGCAAACAAAAAACACTTCAGCTTTGTTTTTTTAGTAGAACTGGGGATTGAACTCAGGCCCTTGCGCTTGCCAGGGAAGTGCTTATTCTACTGAGCCATCTCTTCAGCCCCTCAGCTTTGTTTTGTTGTGGAAATGTTACAGGTTGTACACAGGCTACTGAGAACTATTTCATTTTTATTTTATTTCATTTTACTTTTGGTCTTTTTGAGACAGGGTCTCACTCTGCAGTTCAGGCTGACCATAAGCTCACTTTATAACCCAGGTTGGCCTCAAACTCACAATGATCTCCTGCCCCCGGCTCCCAAAACTAAGTGTGGGTTACGATGCCTTCTTCCTGGGACGACCCCACGTAAATGAGGAATAGTGGTCCAGCCGGTACCGGCTCCGGGCAAGTCCCTGGGACTGAGGTGGGGGCTGGAGCTCTGCCCTTGAGGGCAGGTTCTGATGGCAGTGGAGGCTCTGTTCTGATGAGGGCAAGCTCCTGCCTCTAGCAGTGTTTCCTCTCAGGTTTGAGACTTTTGGCGGCAAAAATTGGGGGACTTCTTCATAGCATCTCTTGAATTCATTTTCCTTGTTTTATTATTTCATTATTTGTTTTCTTTTTTGGGGTGCTTGTAGGGGGAGCCTTAATGAGCTCAAAGCCCAGGCTGTTACACACTGAGCACATCTGGGGCGGGCTTGTCTTCCGAGGCCCAGTGCGCTGTGCTTGGTCCGCAGGGCAGAGCGCATCAACCCAGCCTGGGTCGCGCTGCACACGTCGCGGGGGCACGAGAGTCCGGCACACAAGCTCTTCATGCGTGCGACAGGTAAGGGAGCGGGAGGGAGGCTCTCGTTTGAGTTTTAATCATTCTGAACATACCACAAGAAAGTACTATTAGAAAAAGCACCCTTTTCTCTCCCTTCCTTCTTTCCTTTTTTGCAGTGCTTGGAACCCAGGGCCCCGTGTGTGCTAGGCAGGTGCTCAGCCACTCAGCCTTTTACACTTTTTTGTCTTGACACCGGATCTTACAAAGTTGCCCAAAGCTCAACCCTGTGGTTCTCCTGAGCAGCCTCCTGAGCAGCTGGGGTCACAGGCGCATGCCAGTGGGCATGGATTTTTTTTTGCGTGGCTTTAGTTCTGGGAGTCAAACTCTTGACCCTGTGCTTGCCAGACAGGCGCTGTACCACAGCTGCATCCTGGCCCTATCATTGTTCTTAATGACTTCAAAAAGCATGTAACTGTGTCAGGTGTGGTGGTGCATGCCGGTAATCTCAGCACTCTGGGAAACTGAGGCAGGAGGATTGTAAATTCAAGCCCAGCTTGGACAGTTTAGTAACTTAGGTGAGACCCTGTCTCAGCGTAAATAAAAAAGGGGTGGTGTGCAGCTGGAGCGGAGGCTCCCGTGCAGCCCCAGTGTCGCCAGAGGGGGCGACATGGAGCTGCACAGGTGGCCAGGTAGGTAATGTGCCCAAGGCAAGCACAGGCTGAGAGAGTACTGGTTCTGGGAACTTGACCTTTATCCTCTCAATTCTTTGAACATCCACAGGCGAGAAGGATTTGTTTTGGGGGAGGGGGGCTGGCTCAGGATGCCTTAAGGGCAGGTCTGGTAAGGCATGAGGATCTGGGGATCGAACCACAGAATCCTGAGCCTGATTGCTTTGCTTAAGCAGGCACTTAAACATCTGAGCCAATGGGCAGGCCCTCAAGCAAGAAATAGTGTTCCTGTCCTTAACATGAGCTGGGGAAACCGAGGCATGGGTGTGCAGGCTCACAGCTTGGCTGAGATCGGAGGCCCTCGTGGCTTGGGTGTTCACTTTCATGGCCTCCCTCGTGGCACTTGTGGCACACTGGCTGCCCACAGAGGGACCCACCTGGCAGCGTCACCTGAGCTGCTCTAGGAGCAGGAACATGGTTAGCTTTGATTCTCTCCGAAGCTCTGCAAGTGAGAGGCTTTGGTGCTGTGTCTTCCTACAGCTGGGGGACGCAGTGCTTGGCTTTAAGAGCCACCACTGTGCCCGGCTGTGTTCATGTTTAAGCCCGAGTTGGGGCAAAGAGGGAGCACTGCGGACGTGTGAATGAAGGCTTCAGAGTGCAGCGTGTTAAGAGAAGACTGCCTTGTAGGCTAGCACTGGAGCGAGGCGCCCGACTGAGGGGGCTCGCTGGGGCTGCGGCAGCGCGGGGCACAGGCGGGGACGCCAGGCTTGCTGTGGCTCCCAGGGACGCATGCTCAGCAGTACCTGCTTGATTTTTCAGTGTTCCTTGCTGACTTGGTGATTTACATACCTGCAGTCGTTTTGTACTGTTGTTGTTTAAAAGAAACCTCCACTAAGAAAAAGGTAAGCTGTACAGCAGTCAGACACTTGGCCTCCATAAATCTGTTTGTTGGGCAGCCCTTTTTTTTTCTCCCAACCCCCCACCTCCAGCCCTTTTTAATTTTTTTTTTTTTGAGACGGTCTGGCTGTGCAGCTCAGGCTGGCCTTGAGCTTGCCTTGTGGCCCAGGCAGGTCTGGAACTTGCAGCGATCCCCCTCCCTCAGCCTCCCGAGTGTTGGTATTACATGTATGGGCCACCATGCCCCGTTTGTAGGTTTTTATTTTTTTTTTTGGCGGAACCGGGGATTGAACTCAGATCCTTAGGCTTGCCAGGGAAGTGCTTATTCCACTGAGCCATCTCCCCAGCCCCTTGCAGCTTGGCCTCATAGTGATCCTCCTATTTCAGCTTCCCCAGCACTGGGGTTACAGGCATACACCACCGTGCCTGGTCTCGGGGCCAGCACGGCATGCAGTACTGGGGATCAAACTCAGGTTCTTGTGCTTGCTAGGCAGGCGCTTAGACCTCTGAGCTACCTTCCCAGCCCTGTTTTTGTTTTTAAATCAGCATATTAATGGTGTACCTTAAGGAAGCCGTGCGTTGGGGGATAGATAGAATAATGAGGAGGGTTATGTCTTCTGTTAGCTCTCATGCAGAAAGCATCAACTTACCCTACACTAATGATTGTGGAAATCACAGAAACGCCACGCTGCATTCATTACTTAACGGCAGAGAGAATCACTAAGCTAACGGCATTTTGAAAAGTGGCTCTTCTCCCCTAGTCAGTCACCAGAGCTCTGTGGCCACTGGCCACGGGCTCATTTCTCTGACCTGTTGATCTGAAAGTTCTGGGTGGTCCAGGGTCTCACTACGCAGCTCGGACTCGTAGCGATCCTCCTGTTTTCAGCCTCCCCAGCGCTGGAATTACAGGCGTGCCACCACGGCCAGTCTCGGGGCAGGCTCAGTGCCCGAACCCTGCACTTGCCTAGCCAGGCACTTCGTCTGCTGAGCTACCTTGCCGGCTCTTGAAAGTTCTTTTAACAAATGCCTTGCAGTGATTTCCCTTTTCCTGAAATGTCCTGTGCCACCTCCGTGCCGACCTGAGTGTCCACATAGTTTGCTAGATGTGGGCCTTGTGGACAAAGGCACCGCATTCTTGGACGTGGGGACTGCGGCTGCTGTCTGATGACCCCCACACTCTGCTCCTGGTGACAGGCGCCCTTCCACAGTGTGTTTCTTCACAGGCTGCCAGCGCCCTCTGCATCCTGCTGTACCCAGGCCTCATTCTCATCGACCATGGACACTTTCAGTATCCTTTACTGACTGCACAGCCTGCATCCACATGGCCACGTGTGGTCGTGTGTGGTCATGTGGTCCTGTGGTCACGTGGTCCCGTCTTCCTTGTTGGATGCTTGCTCATTTAGCTGCTGCACTCCCCATGAAGGGGAGAAGTCCCCTCCTGTGACATGAAGGCGCAGCTTCCTGGCAGCAGAGTTCTTTTGTCCCTCTCAGCTTGGCTTGGGCAGTCTAAGTGGTGAGCTCTTTCTGGGGAGTTGGAAAAAGCATGCGAAGTGGTGAGGCTGTCCTGATTGTGCAGAGGCAGGCACGTCTCTGTCACTCCTGTCTGACTCCCAGGGAAAGGAAAGAAGGAAAGGAAAAGTCTTACAGGCTTTCAAGCCATGAAACAATATATCTGTAACAGGAAAAGTTGCGGAGGTTCAGGAAACCAAAGAGAAGTCTATGTGGCTTTCTCTTTTTTGATATTATAGTAAGAAACATTGAGACAAGTAGGTTTTAGAGGGTAAGCTGATAAAATCTACATACTTAGCCAGTTTGTCTTCTGATACACTGTTAGGATCTCTGTCTCTGAAAGGAAAAAAATATACTGTGATACGACTGGCTCATAGCTCTTCCTTTTGATGCTAATCTGTTTTGATTCTAGTAAAATTTAAAATTACTCTATGTGTCTTTAAAAAGAACTTGCAGGGGCCGGGGAGATGGCTCAGTGGAATAAGCACTTCCCTGGCAAGCACAAGGGCCTGAGTTCAATCCCCGGTTCCACCAAAAAAAAAAAAAGGAACTTGCAAAAGATACTGAAGTCCGTAACGGTTTCACCACGTCTTCCTCTGTTTGCTTTTCCTAAGTTAGATTTGGGGGCTGTATCGCTCATAGCGTCATGTCTGTCCAGTATGCTGACATCAAGAACAATGTTATTTGCCAGGTTTTTAAAACTAGCTATTCTGTGATACGACGTTAGTACAGGAAACGGTGAGAACGTTACTGCGTGGGTTAAGGACCTGGCAAGGTAGGTCAGGAAACGCCACCATCAGCCTCTAAACGACTGTGTGCTACTGTGCCCTCCCAGTTCTCCACTCCTGTCACGTTCTGAACAGGGCTGACCCCACAGCCTAGGAGGAGAGTCTGCTCGGTGCAGTCTGGTGCATGTGGTCCCTGCTCAGTGGCTCCAAGGCGAGGGGCTCAGGGCAGGGCCTGGGCGAAGCTGGCTCACAGCCAGGAGGCGGAGAGAGGGAGGAGCCAGGGAGGGAGCTTTCTTCCAGTCCACACCCCTAAAGGCCCTCTGGTGACCAGGCCTCACCTCGGAAGCCAGCGGGAGAGCCCGGAACACATGGGCTCTGGAGGGAAGCTGAGGCCATGCCCCAGCACACTGCTAATCTCCTGTAGGTCCCGGCCATCCGAAGGGAAAACACGGCAGGCATTCTCCCTTTGGGTGTTCTGGGCTCAACTCTGTTTTGAGAGAGAGAGAGAGAGAGAGAGAGAGAGAGAGAGAGAGAGAGAGAGACAGACAGACAGAGAGACAGAGAGAGAGAGACTGACTCAGTGTATTTCAGGCTGACCTTGGGCTCACAGTGACCCCCCATCTCGTCTGTAATGCCCAGATGGGCTCAGCCGTTGTGAGGCTTATGATGTCGCCAAGTGGGGTTGTGTTTCGGTCTCATTCTTTATAGGATTCCATTGCACGAGTAGGTGAACTTCTGTTAGTGAGCGGCGTCTGGGTTGTATCTAGAATCTGCATGAATACTTTTTGGTGGTACTAGGAACTAACCCTGAGGTATAGGTGTGCCTGGCAGATGTCTGATGCAGAGCTATGTCCTCGTCGTTTTAGTTTTGAGAAGGGTCGCCCTAAGTTGAGCAGGCCAGCCTCCCGCTTGCGGTGCTCCTGCCTCAGCCTCCTGAGGAGGTGGGATTGCGAGTGTGGCGGGCCACCGCACCCAGCATGCATCTCTGGTGGGTGGAGCTGCTCATGACAGTGTTATTGTTGACGGTTAAAGTTGTTCGCCTAACACTTCCATTACACATCACGAAGTGTACCTTGAAGCTCTGGTTGGTTCACTGCACCTCCTGTCTCTGGTGGTCGTGTCTCAGCAGTCATGTGCTCGTGAGGTCCAGTGTCTCTGTCGCCCTGACTCCCCTATAAAGGAGCTGTGGTGCCTGCTGTTGGTGCATCCTCCCTGCCACTGGAGCACTGCCTGCTCCTGCAGATCATGGGCGCTGTCCTGACCACAGGGTGTCTAACGGCAGTGCAGCTGTCGCTGCGCCTCCCTGGCCTCTGCACCTCAGGGGCCCTTCAGCAGCGGCCTTGCTGCCCTGAGCAGCCCAGGGCTCAGCTGCGCCTTACCGTGCAAGCGCCTCACGGTCTGTGTCAGTGTAAGGACCCTGGTGTTCTCCTTAACGCAGACACACATACAACGCCGTGAGCCTTGGCTTCGCACTGTGGGGTGTCCTGGGGGTATCTTCTGACCGGGACCTGCTAGGCTCCCTGGCCTTTTGTTTAGCTCTAAATTACAAACAGATGGAACTCTACCATTCCTTGCCATTCTTTTGCTTTTTACTTGGCAAGTGCTTTCAGAAAGGCCTCAAAGGAAAGGGGTGAGTGGCCTTTAATCAGAATTGAGCATTTTACCTGCAGGAACACACTGGGTGTGCTTCCATGGGGGAAGTGACTTTCACTCCCTCTGCTGAGGCCTTGGAAAGGTGCTGGCCATATGTGGTGGCAAGGGGGTGGCTCAGGCCGCGTTCTCCTACATCCCGTAGCCGAGAGGCACAGCCGTCCACATGCGCCGATCCGATCCCCCCCCCCCCCAAAGGCTGCTTCCAGGAGCGTGGGGGCCAGCGCCTTTGCGCTGTCACCCGCTCTCTGGGCCTGGCCCTGTGGCCTTTCTCTCATGGCACCTTTAGTCCTGCAGAAATGGCACGAGGTGAGGGTCATCAAGGTGGTGAAGCCAGCTCCCGCTCAGCTGACTCCACTGGGATGTGCTGAGGGCAAGGACAGTGCATGTGGCGCTGTCCCGAGCTCCCCGCGGCCCAGGCCACAGCCTCATGACTCAGGCCCCTTCCTTTTGCCCAGGCTCGGCTTGCTGGTGAAGCTCGCGTGCACCGTGGCGGCATCCTTCACTGTCTGCTGGCTGCCGTTCTCCACCGAGAGGGAGCAGGCCCTGCAGGTCCTGAGACGCCTCTTCCCCGTGGACCGAGGGTTATTCGAGGCACGTGGAGCCCCGCCACCAGCACTTCACATGGAGACACTGGGCAGAGGCGCCAGCCGCAGGCCCTGTGTCTCCAAACCCCAAACGGAACATGTTGTAGTTGGCGGAGAAGGGGCCCTGGGAAGTGTAGCAAGGGAGTGGCGGCTGTGCTGCTAACAGCTCAGTTTCTGGTTTAGATGTTCTTTCCAGTCTTAGGAAAGTATTTGTTAAACTAATAATCACGTTTGCTTCAGAAAGATATCAGCATGCCTTCCAAGATACATAACCCTCAGCACAGTAATGTTTAATGAGAACCTTTCATTTCATTTAATGCTAGTTTAATCACTCTTGTTAAACTTTTATTACATGAATAATTTGATCATTTAGATTTAGTAATTAAATTAAACAAACCATTTTTCGGAAACAAAAAGACCTTTTAATAAAGTTAGATAGGACAACATATTTGTAGATAATTTGCTTTTGAATAACATTTCTTTTTAAGGAGAGTTTAAAGAGCCGCATAGCTTCCCAATTGTGATCACACACGTGCCTGGCATCTCAGAGGCTCTCCAGGTTGGGGCCAGCATTTGAAAGGCAGCGGGGAGGAGCAGATGGGGGCCGCCGTGGCGGGGGCTCTGGTCTCCCCGGGGCCGCACGCTTCAGCCCCGCCCCTTCACTGTGGGAGAGCAGCCCTGCACGTGGCGGCACTGGACCTGATGACCGAGGTGGACACGTAGACAGGTGTATGAGCAAGAGAGCTGGAGTTGCTGTGTGTGCGCGCGCAGGGGCTCACTGTGCAGCTTGGACCCCTAGTGATCCTCCCATTTCCACCCTCCCCAGTGCTGGGCATACAGGCATGCAGCACCATGCCCAGCCGCTCTTGCTGGCTCAGTGTACCCAGGGGGGGGGGCTCTCATGACATGCAGTGCCAGAGATTGAACCCTGGCCCCTGAGCTTACCTAGGCAAGTGCTTCGTCTGCTGAGCTGCCTCACTAGCCCTACTCATTTAATTTTTAAAGGGGTCCTAGCACAACTGCTGAGGTATTTACTTACTTGGTACCGGGAACTGAACTCGGGACTTTGCACTTGCCAGGCAGATACTGCGCTGCTGAGCTATCTCTCCAGCCTGCTGAGGTTTTTAAACATCTTGATTTATAAGCAGTTAGCTCTTGTCCTCACTGGTACCCAGTGGGTGACTCTGAATAAATAACAACTTCAGGTATTAATGAGAAAGGTCCGATGTAACCAGTATTGTACCAAATAGGGGTAAAAGAGTTCTTAGATGCCAGCCCTGCCCCCAGGGCATGCAGAGATGGTGACTGAGCCATGGTGGCTGCACCCGTAATCCCAGTGCTTGGGAGGCTGAAAAGTAGAATCACTATGAGTCCAATCTGTGTAGTGAAACCCTGTAGACCCTGTACTAAGTACATTAAAAAAAAAAAAAAGATTTCTTGAAGATTTCCAAAGGATTAACTTCGGTCTTTAGAGATAGTGTGCTGCTCTGGGACAAATGCTAGTGTCTCTCGGGGACATCTGGGTGCAGCCAGCTGATGAATGCGGAGTGCTGGGGTGTGGGGGCACGTGTGCACCGCTGTCAGCAGGGTCAGCTGGCCTGTGCACGTGTCCCGTGCCGCAGGAGCTGGAGAGCAAGGCTGCGCACATCATGGGCTTTCATATTTCTTTACTTGTAACAAAATGTAAACCCAGATCTCTTTTAAGGATAAAGTAGCCAACGTCTGGTGCAGCCTCAGTGTTTTTGTGAAGATGAAGGACCTGCTGCCGCGTGACACCCAGATACTGGTCAGGTACTGCATGCTCGGCTCCCGCGGCATCAGGCGCTGTCTGCAGCCGGCTGCCGGGGGAGGGGTGTCCCGCCCCAGCCAGGCTCCTCTGGGACCCACCCGGGGAAACTGGAAGCCCTTCCCGGGCTGGTTTCCTCTGCACAGTGCGGTCACCTAGTGTACAGGGTCAGCCAGAAGAGCAGAACAAGCTGCGGGCGGCTGGGTGGGGCGAGCACACGGGTGTGAGAGCGTATGGCTGTCCCCAGAATTGGCCCGGGCACTGTGGGTGTGGGGCAGGCCGGGGCGGGCGTGCATGAGGCTGACTGACTCGCTGTCCCCTCACTTGCACAGCAGTCTTTCCCGCCGAGAGGCGGAAAGTGACAGAACCGAAAGGGCCAGACTCTGGGCCTCAGCCTGCCCGACGCTCTCCTCCCTCGGGCAAGCCCATGTGGCTCTTCCTTCAGTGGTCTCCGTGGGCTTGAGAGCAGGACGGCTTCTCTTCAGATCTGGCCGGTTTCTTATTCTGAGTGTTTGATAATGGACCTCCAGCTATATTTTTTGTAATTTTTTATTCATGGTGCAAATATACAATAGGTAGAACTGAATGTTAAATGCTTTGTTCTTCATAAGATCGTGTGTAAAAGTATACATGTATTTCAGCATATATATTTATCTTACATGTTATTTGGACTTTAAATCAGTAAAACTTTTAATTTGAAATGGAGTTAAATTGATCTTTAAATGCTATTTTTAAATTTTAAAAAATTGCTTTAGCTGGATTTATACCTCTGCAAAGGAGACAGACTTTCTTTTTGTCATTTTCTAGCTTTTGCGTTACCTTCTTGAGCTTGCTTCCTGTGTGCACGAAGTTAACGCTCCACCCCTCTCCCCAAGGATTCAGATTCGCCTTGGTAAGCTGCTCGTACTGACTTGGTTCTTTCTGTGGCTGAGCCAGTCCCTGCTCCAGCGAGTCCCCTGGGCCCTGGCTGCAGTGTGGGTGGCCAGCCCTGCAGGTGCCTGGAGCAGCCCGAGTGGGCGCGCAGAGCCCTGCACTTGTGCGCCATCGCACCTAAGATGCTGTCGCCAGGTGCCGTGGTCTCTAAAGCGACCACAGGGTCCTTAGGCTGGGAGAGGTGGCGCTGCAGGTGATGCCCTGAGTGGCCCCAGGCCAGAGGTGAATCCCCTGGGCACCCGAGTGTCCCCGGGCCTGGGGTTTCTGGTTCCAGTGCTCCCTGCTGGTCCAGGAGGCCTGGAGAGGACACGGTGAAGCCGCTGTGTGCCTGAGATGGTGCAGAGGCGCTTTAGACCTACAGTCCAAGAGGGGCAGAGCCTCCTAGGCCTGTGCGTGACAGGCATGGGGGCCCCAGGCCGACCTGGGGCAGGGGCAGGCTGCACAGACTTGTGCAAGTGCATGCAGTGACTGCTTCAAGCCCTACATTGCAGATGGCTTTATAAAACGTAATATAATTTATTGCAGGGAACATTTTTAAATGCACCGCAGTAGATTTATTGTGCTACTTTTAGGTTTTGATGTTTGTCCTTCCTGCTTTTTAAGTTGCCATTGGGAGGATGAAGGTATGATCCTTGTATCTGAGATATTCATTGAGTTTCTATTAATGACAGAATCTTGAAGCCAGGCGTGGTGGTGCATGCATGTATTCCCCACTCTGGAAGGCTGAGGCAGGACGATCTCCAGCCCCGTAGGCCAGTTTAGACCCCAGCGATCAAACCTTGCTACATATTAACAAGTAAAAAAGGGCCAGGTAAATAGTTCAGTGCAAAAGGGTTAGGTTCAACCTCCAGAACTGTAACAAGTGCAAATTGATTTTAAAATGGGAAGTATTATGCACATTATGTTTATATTCCATTGTGAAGAGCTAAAATAAGTGGGCAGATTTCACGGGGGAGTGACTCTTCTCTAGACCCGCGATAAAGCTGACCTCGCTCCCTTTCACTGCTTCCAGGTCGCCTGTGCACTGTCCTTCTTCTTGTTTTCTTTCCAAGTACATGAAAAGTCCATTCTCTTGGTAGCCCTGTGAGTATAAGTGTGTGCAGTGTGCACTGTTGTGTGTGTGTCACTACATGCATTTCGGGGGGACTGGGTCTCGTCGAGCTGTGGAGCCCAGGCTGGCCTCAAACTCGCGGCAGCTCTCCTGCCGCAGCCACCGTAGCGCCGGGGTTACAGGTGCACACCATCATACCCAGCCTTATAAGTAACTTTATAATTTAATTAGTGTAATGCAAAATACAGCCATAGAATTTCCTGCATACAGTTATTTTTTACTTTGCAAGTACGTTTTAAGCAAAGCTGGTAGTGTTCCCAACACGCTTCCTTCTTCCTTGTTTCTCTGGATGTTGCTCTGCGCCCGGGGCTGGTGCCACGCCTTTGGACTCCCAGTCCCGGGCTCTTCCCCCGGCCTGTCATCTGTCCTTTCCTCCACGTGGCTGCTCTGTGGGTCTGTGCGTTCTCTTCGGCCTGCAGGATTTTGGGCCTGCTTTGGGGACACCCACGTCCTGTGCTGCTCCCGGGCTCCCTGCGGCCAGCGTCAGTCTGCGGGACTGCGGGGTGCAGGGAGAATGCAGATGGCCTCTCCGCAGCCTCGTCCCCCTTTCACCGTGCTTTCCTGCAGCAGCTTGCGTGCTGGGGAGGGTCTGTCCATGCAGCCTCGCGGTTCCCAGGGAGTGCGGATGCCTTCTCTGGGACTTGGCTTGCACAGTTCCAGGACAGTGAGTCACGAGCCAGGCAGGGTGGCACTCACCAGTCTGGCAGCCACTTGGGAGCCACGGCGGGGTCACACAGATCAGTGTCCAGCTAGCTCCTTTCCGGCTTCTGGGATGATGTGCTACCCAGGCTTCCTGCTACCTGGCGTTGAAGCTGAATTCACCGTTCTCTATTTCAGGCCTGTCTGCCTCGTCCTACATGAAATTCCTTTCATGGCCACGTGGTTCCTCCTTGTGTCGACTTTCAGGTGAGTGGCCCTTGTCCCTGCTTGTGGCCTGAGTGGCACCCCTCCCATCACTGCCTCTCTGTCCCTAGCCTGCTGCCACTGCTGCTCCGGGACGGACTCCTGATGCCCTGGGCTGCCACAGCCGTGGCCTTCTGCACTGCGAGTACCACCTGCTTCCCACTGTGGGCTGAGGCATCGGAGGAAGAGGCGCTGCGGCTGGGGCCCTTTTGCAAGGCAGCCAGGAGGTGTGTGCCCCAGCGGAGACTGGTGCTACTTCCCTGCATGCTCAGGGGATTGGTAAGCTGTGTGGGACCTGGAGACCTGGGGACATGGGAGGCAAGGCCAGGTGGGAAGGTACCCGCAGAGCCACAGATGGGGAGGAGCATGACGGGAGCACCTGATAGGCGCACCCGTGTGGCCGAGGCCCTGTGGCTCCAGCTGGTGTGGCTTCCTGGTGAGTGGGTAAGGGCATGAGTTGGGACCCATCAGCCCCATGCTTACTAAACCCAGGACGAATGGAAGGCATCACCTCAGAGCTGTGGCGCCCCAATTCTGCCCCATCTTGGTGATCCCCATCCTTGGAGGTCCCGATCTGGGCTGTCTGATCTCTGGTCGCCACCGGACGGAGGTGGCTTGGGGTTACCAACTATCGGAGCACGTGCCTCCTCCCTGCGTGGACATGACCACAGGCCCGAGCAGGCCGGTCACAGTGAATGGACCTGCACCGACCATGGTGACCCTGGCACCCACTGTGGAGAGCTCCAGCATGAGGACCCATCCCGTCCCATGTGCCCATCCTTGTGCCCCCCAGCCCCTGAGCGCAGACGTCGTTCCTAGTCCATCGCCACGCCCCGCTGGGGGACACGCTGTCCACCCAGCTTCCCATGCTGTACCCATGAGAGCCAGGTCCTAGGGATGCCAGAGACTTGAACTCCAGCCAGACTCGGGTGTGAGCTGCTGCCCCCAAGGTGCACTGGAGGGGCCCTGTGAAACCGCTGGTGCACCCCAAGCCTCGCTGGTTCAGCTCTGTATCTGACAGCTACAGAGCAATGTTCATTTAAACTTTACCTTCTCTGCATCAGTAATACCTTTTCCCCTACAGTTTCTTGCTTCGGTGACCGTTATGGTCCTCCTGACCCTCATGACGGTCACCTTGGACCCTCCGAGGAAACTACCGGACTTATTTTCTGTGTTGGTGTGTTTTGTGTCCTGCTTGAACTTCCTGTTCTTCTTGGTGTATTTTAACATTATAATCATATGGGACTCCAAAAATGGGAGAACTCAGAAGAAAGTCAACTAGCTCTGTTTCAAAACAGATGGGAACCTGTACTGCATATGAATGAAACTGCCATTTTGAGAATCGTGGAGTTGCAGGAAAGAATGACGAAATGGTGTTACCGCCTGCACAAAATAAATGTATATGGAGACCTAACGAAGCTTTGCTTTTCTATGTTTTGCTGGGCCAGGGCAGATTTGTAGTTTTATTAACAGCTATTTGAGTGGTACCATAAAAGGGAAAAATGCCATTAATCCCAGTCTTTACTTAGGAAAAATGTCTTAAAAATGCAAATATTGCAAACTTAAAGTATTAAGCCCTTTGTAAACGAAATCACTAATTTTGGTGTTAGGTTGGGTTTTCTTTGCGGTCCAGTGTGAACCTGGTGGGTTTGTTTAGAAGTCGAATCTCAGGGAAGCGCATTTGTGTTCGTCATTCCAAGCTGCCTGGACGCGAGTACACCTTACTGCACACGCAGACCCAGTTTCTGTCGCACGGCACGCGGGTAAACAGCGCTCTTTCCTTTCAGGGGTGCATACTTGTTTGAATCCATCTAACAGCTGAGGTCTCCTGAATTTCACGGTCTAAATCTAGGTGAAATCTTTGGTCATGCCTGGTGACCTGCCCGCGCTTGGGGCGTCCTGGGTCGGCCCTCCCGGCCCGCCGCGGCCAGGCCCCTCCACAGCTACCTGCGGTCTGCGCTGAGGGTGTTTTGTGCCCTCCCGGGCGGGCCAGTGCCCGGCACTCTGCTGCTCTGGGCGTGGGCATGGAGGCGAGGAGCGGCGACTTGGGGTAAGTGCGCGCCGCGCCCACACCGGCACTGGCCTCAGCGAGGGCCTGCTCTTCGCCGGCCGGCCCAGGGGTCGCGCACTTGCCGCCTCTATCCGAAGCCAGCTAAAGGACGGACTTGAATGTGGGGAGAGGGCCAGCGACATGGCTCGGCGGTCTGAAGCACCCGCGAAGGCAAGCTCAGGCAGGCGAGGGGACCCGGTTCGCCCAGTGTGGGCTGAGCCGGTGAGACATGGAGATCATGTAGGAGGGTGATTGCCAAGCATTTCTGTCAGCTAACTTCAAGGTCGTGGCGACATGTTCGTCTAATCAGGGTAGGCAAGTATTACGGAGCTTCTCCTCACCGACGGGCCTGCCCCAGGACGCACAGTAGCGCCGGGCATCAGAGGGGCGGCCGTGCCCACCGCGGGAGGAAATCCCAGGCCCGCACGCAGGGCGCGCACGCAGGGCGCCTTTGCGGAGCCCGCACAAGGCAATCCGCAAGGTGCTCCGAGGACAGGGCAGGCCACCGGAGCCAGGGGCCTCTGCTGCCAGGGGGAGGGGCGACAGGGCAGCGGCAGCCTCCCGCATGTGTGCTGCACGCTCCTCCAATCTGCAGGCCAGCCGGGGCCCTGGTCATGCGCAAGGCCGCGCGCCGGGGACACACAGCCACCTCTTGCGGCCGGGTCCCAGTATTCTCGGTATCTAGCACAGCTTCTAAATCAAAACTTAGGTTTTTTTCAACCTTAATTGTCTGATTTTATTTCAAACTTTCACAGTTTTTATTGTCATGATAAACTTAATTCCGTCAAAATTTAAGGCAACTACTTGATAATCTCCCTGCAGAAATTGTTATTGAAATCTTGAGCAAATTTTTGATAGTTATGACACATTCCGCAATCCCCAACACTGTCATGAGAGACAGCCACTTAAGAGACTGCCCTGCAGGGTCTACACTGAGTGACTGGGGAAGGAGAGCTCAACCCTGACATAGTGGATATGAAATGAACAACTTCTTATTTTATTTTTGAGACAGGGTCCCACTATGCAGTTCAGGCTGGACTTGAGCTCACTTTGTAGCCCAGGCTGGCCTGGAACTTGCAATGATCCTCCTGCCTCAGCCTCCCCAGTGCTGAGGTTACAGGCATGTACCACCACCCAGCTACAATAAACTTTTTTTTTTTTTTTTTTGGCGGAATCAAGGATTGAACTCAACTGAGCTATCTCCCGGGGCCCTACAATAAACTTCTAAAAGTTAAAAAAAAAAAAAAAAGCCTGTCACCTCAGCACTCAGGACACTGCAGCAGGAAGATCGCCGTTAAGTTCAACGCAGTCTGGGCTCATTACTACTTGGTTTGAAGCCAGCCTGGATTCAAGAGAGAACTTCTCTCAAAAACTACACAGCTGGGACACCGGTGGAAAAACATTACCTAGCTCCCCTCACCACTGGGTGGAACCGGAGTTCCAGGGAATGGAGGGCGCTGTTCCTGCTGCGCATGCGCCACAACGGCGGAAGTATGCGACAGCACAGAAGCCGGGTTCCCCACTCTGTGCTGACTCACATTAAACAGTCAAGAAGAAACGTACTATTTACACTGAGACTATCCACTGGTGTGTGCAGAAAGTCTAAATTAGCTGCAAGCACTTTCATCTAGCCCCGCGCCTGCCTGGTGCTCGCGAGGGGCTGGGTGGGGTTCACGGCGCACAGCAGTTCCAGAGGTCGCTTCTGTCCCGTAAGCGCGATCAGGCCACGCCCAAGTCGTGCCACGGACGCCTCTCTCCTAAGTGCCTGCAGGACACAAAAGGTGAATATGACATCACTGTGGTTCGCTTCCAAGTTAACATACATCTTGCGCGCTGCCTAGCACGTGCAACTCCCCCGCAGAGCCGGGGATCCCAGCGCTGAGGCCGAGGCAGGAGGACTCCGTGAGTTTGGGGGCAGCCTGGGCTACACAGTGAGTTCAAGGCCTATGTAGGTATGTAGCAAGAACCTGTCTAAAAACATCACCTGCCCTGCGTGTGCAGGGCCTCTGGCGGGCTTGCTTTCAGTCTTCTAAGTGACAGTTGCCTTTAGCACCACCTGTGAGCAGGATGTGGCGCTGCCAGCCCCGCAGGAAGACACGAGCCGGGAAATCCGACCTCTGTGTGGCCTGGAAACCACCAGCTCCTCAGGGCTACAGGGCCTTGCCTGAAGCCACGAGGCCTCCTACTGGTGGTGGCAGAGGCCTGAGGAGACCACAGGGGACAGCACAGGAAGGGGCGGGCGGGCAGCTTCCCTCGGAAGGGAGCGCCCTTGTGCATCTGCTCACCCAACTTCACAGCCGCACGGCTGGCAGGGCCCAGCTGGAGCTAGGACAGCAGAGCGAAGGAGGCAGGCGCGCCACAGGCCCCCCGGCTGGTGGTGCCCTCTGCCCTCCTGCGCAGCAGACGGGGGTCGCTGCCAAGCGAGAGGGACCAGAGCTGAAGTGCTATTTGGACGAGATGACTGATCTACAATCTGTGAAGACACTCAAGTTCCCCACAGTTCGAGGCATTATGCCCCGAACATGCTTGCTATATGACTTGAAAATGTACCTAGTGATACTCCCTAATAGAAAAGTTCTCTATTGGCTTTTTCTGGGTCAGAAACTTCGTAAAACGTTCAGTGCTACAGTAAATGAGGGGGGCCTGGCCTAGCTCGGTCCTTTAAGTGGCAGCTTCCACAAAGCTGTCAGCTCAGGTTGCTGGAGTTCGAACCTCACACCTCTCCCGCTGGCCAAACGTGCCCTGAAGGCATTCGAGGAACAACAAAAAAAAGCCTTACAGTAAATGAGTATGTGGGTGCGGCCGGTGCCCTTGCTGGGCAGGACAGAAAACACTGCGTTTGTAGTCACTGCTGTGCAGCTAAGTACACAGGCTGGGTGGCTGTGGTGGCTACTCCTGGAACCTTGCCGCTCGGGGGGCCGAGCCGGGACGACCGCTGCACGTTCGAGGCAGCCTGAACTGCACGCGCAGGAAGACCCTGCCTCCAAAAGCAAGCACCACAGGCTCACACAGCCCGGCGCTCCGGGTGAGTCGGAAGCTCTCCGTGCCCGTTTCCCACCAAGAACCGTAGTAAGTACCCATGTCATGTTGTGACGATTAAGTGGGCACACAACATTCCTAACTGCTGGCCCCTCAGCCATGCGCAGTACATGCTACTGTACCAACATATTTACTGTATACAACAAAAGGAACATTTAAGGAATGAAAAATGCTAATTGTCTCCACCAGATGTTTTGCAGATAGGGGAAGATTTAATTGCTTGAAACACCTTTCTACAAAACTGAGTTCTCTAGATACAAGGGGGTCTGTGCTTTTCTAAGCTTATTCTTTGGGTGACAGCAGGCACCATCTGGTTGGCATGCAGCCATCTATCGATGCCACCACGGAGGGGCATCGCCAGGTCTCAGTGTGAGCCTGGCTTCAAGGTGCCCGAGGATTACAGGGCATCGTGCCTTCTGCACCTGCTCACGCTACTCGGTGGGCACATCGCCTCAATCGCTAAATCAGTAGGAACTATTTAAAAGGAAAGGTAAAGACACCATTATTTGCTTAACCTGTTTAGTCTGTTTCTAAATGTAACAGGCCGTGACGTCTTGCTCAGCGAGACGTGTCCTACAGAAAGCACAATCTACTTGCCAGTGAGGCCTATCGCTTCTACACAGGCGTTCCACTAAGGGCCCTCGGTCGTGCTTGTTACACGTGTACCTGACTTCCACGGTGTGCTTTTCCAGCCAGCCTTCCGGCTCACAGGGCTTGTCAGACTGCTCTGCTGTTCTTTTCAGTTGTTTGTTTATTTTTTGAGACAGGGTCTGGCTGCGTAGTGCAGGCTGGCCTCCAACTCTTGGAGGCCTTCCTGGCTCAGCCTGCTGAGTGCTGGGATGACAGACACTGCTTTGCTGTTTTACACGCCTGAGCCAGATCTGGTAATGTAGACAAAACGCTTCCACTCGGATACACACACAGGGAAGCTTAACAAGGTTAAAATGAACAGAAAAGTACAACAGTACCTGGGTTTAAAGTGGCTTTAAGGAATTCATAGCTGTCAAGATGGCTTAATTCTGCATGAAAGAAAAGATATTTTTCAAAAAACACTTCAAAGTACCTTACCACACTGTGTGATGCAGAAGGAATTCTGAAGTGAGCTCAGTTCCAGATTCCCTGGTAAGCCAGGCCTGCAGTGCTCCCCACCCTGCAGCCTCTTAGCGCGATGAGGTGCTGCGTTCCCTGCTGCGAGGGCACGCAGCGTCTGTCTTGCCTACCTGTGTCCCCGAGTAGGACAGTGCCCGGTGTGAAATGGGCGGCCAGGAAGTACCTCGGTGTGGGAACAGCAGCTGGGGCGTTCTGGAAAAGGTCTGTCCCACTCTCGAGCTCCCGAGGTGTGCGCCAGCTCAGGTACCAGCCAGGAGGGGCCAGTGCCCCATGCCCCAGGCCACGCAGGGGTGCCGTGAGGGCTTCGCCAGGCAGAGGAGGGCGGTGGAGGCCTAAAGCCTGGGACGTCGGGAGGGAGCGGGGCCGACAGTCAGCACAGCCTGTCCGTCCCCTCAAGCCCTGAACACTAGACCAGGCCACTCATGCCGGCTCTGGGCGTGGGGCACTTTTTTGAGTATTCTAAGATGGGGAAAATGTTCACCTGTCCGGTGGCAGAAAACCAATTTCTCTTCATGTGCTCGAATAATTCTTATCCCCTCAGGGGCATCCAGTCTTCAGTCTATTCATTACTGTCTTTTTATAGTATTTTTATTTAATAAAACCTATTAACACTACCATACAAATCTCTTTACTTATGCTTTTATCTTTTAACTGATCAATTTTTATACTGCTGACACCCCTTTTGCTCATTTAAAAATTCACAGTATGTGAGCCATGTCTCCAGGGAAAGTGTCCATAAAATTCGTTACAGCTGGCAAATGTGTGTGAGCCAGGGATAGCACATGACTAAATGCTTCGCAGAAAATAAAATTTGTTTCTGTAGTAAGCAGAACTGTTTAAATGTTATTTATTTTTATGTTTCAAAGAAAATATATTGTGAAGTGCTGCATTGATTTAATACGCAACAATGTCTGTGTACACGCTGCGGAAGGAAAATTTATGAAACCTTTGCACAACTCCTTTAATTGAATTTTCCAAATCTCTCACCACACACAAATAATCAATATCTTCTGCAGAGAAAACCAGTCAGAATTATTACTGCCTTTCTTTTCCATGTTGTTGTCATCAGCACATACCCAGCACCTGGGTATTTGTCATGTCACTAGCAAGTTATTTACGCCTCTTAACACATTATTGCTATTATAAGCGAGTCCAAACACAGAATCTTAACATTTTTTACTGACTTTCCTCACAAGAAAAATTATCATAATCCAGGTAAAATTACAAAAAAAATGTGTATCATGGAAGGAATTATTAAAAAGGTTTTTGAGGACTAATGAACCAGACGCTTCCCTCAGACCCTCAGCGCATTTCCAGCGAGCGTCGGGAGTGGGTGAGGTGCACCCAGCTGCGGACACCGGGGAGGACCGGCCCGAGCAGGGAGCCCTGTGGGCTCGGGTGCCTGCGCGCTCTAAATTAATAGCTCCATCTTTATCTCCAGATAAAGGCGGCATGTGAGAGCGGGAAGGGGAATTCTTGTTTCTCCTAAAACTCATCATGTCTAAACCAGACCTCAGGGCTTCTAAAACTGAAGTATCTGTTTGAAAAAAGATATTGTTTAGGCTGTAAGGGGAAAACCAAAGGCTGGCAATATTCTGGGAGCAGTTACTCAGCTGCTGTGATGAATTCTTTTCCAGAATGGAGTAGGCGTAAGGACAACATATTTTTATGTTTAAAAAACACTTCAGTGGGTGGTGAGGAGAAGGCAGCCTCAAACCATTTCACAGTCCTAGGAGGGGCTTGCGCTCACCCTGGCGCCCGGACAGTGCAAGAAGCTGCATCCTGGCAGGAGGTAACTTCAGTGTAAGAGCACAGCAAGTGAACAAGAGAAAATCGGACATCATCCTTGTGCTTTTTCTTAAAACACTAGAGCTAGCAATTCTGAAATACTTTTTACAAACAGCTGAAACAATCCATGCTCAAACAACATAAAGTTCAGATGGTTATACTGCATTTAAAATATGCATCCTGCAACCTACACAATTATTCTCAAGACGGATAAAATACGTTTTGGACCAAAGCTCAGAGTCCGGACTTCGTATCTTGGCATCTGCTCTACAGCTCGCTTACATTCTTTTCAAAAACATTTTGCTTACTGGAAGTACTAGGCAGAGACAGACAATGATGGCATTTTCAAACATCTCCAGAAAAAATGAAAATACTGAGGACTGCAGAATGCCATCCATTGACCAAGAAGTATCTGCACCAAGTTGTTTTTAGAGGCTGACTGTAAAGCAAATGAATTTCATGCCTCCCATGTGATGACAGTGTGACATTCCGCCGGCAGCAGCCACTGAATGACCATATGTCTTCAATCCTCAGCATAGCAAATTTAAAATAATCTCACAGAAAAAGAACCTCCCATTTTACTATTGTCCCAACAATCATAAAGCCAATATTATTCAGCAGAGTGAGGCTGGACGTGACGCCTGAGGGCGTGGAAGGAGGGAGCCCGGCTCCGGCTCCGGCTCCGGCTCCGGCAGGGAGTGCGCCTGTTGCCAAGGCCCAGCCCACGGCCGGTAGGACAGCTTCTGGGCGCCTTCTTGTTGCTCATCAGTGGCCCTCCAAGGGCTGCTCTGGCCTCCACCAGCGATGCGTGTTGGGGCAGCCTACTTACCAGGCTGCGGAGAGACCACACCACACCCCCTTCCTGCAGTGCAACGACCCTGAGTGCAGAGAGCACGCCCAGACCAAAACCGAGCGGAACTCAAGGCCCGTGAGGAGCCATGACACCACGGATACAGGCGGCCTCCGGCAGCGTCTACCTGGATTATCCTGGGCAAACTGCCTAAGCATCAGAGAGCAAGAGCAAGAAGAATGAGCACAGAATCACTCTAGTGGTCATCTGCATCCGAAGGACGCATGCTGTGGGGCAATAAAGAACGGCTCCTGCCCATCCGCACAGGCCCGCATGGCGCAAGCATGGCCGCTTCAAATTTTGTGTAATTTCCAGTGTTACAAAGAATTGCAAAATGTCTAAAAAATTTCAATTCTGGGTAACAGTACAGTAAAACAAAAGTAGAAATATCTATAAAAACCTGGAAGCCAAATCTCAAAATACGGAACATACACAGCAAATTGGATTGAGAATATAAAAAATAAAAACCCCATAGACCAATAAGCAAAATACTCTTAAAATGAGTGGATAAAAGGAAGGGTTTAAAGCTGTTAGCTTAGCGTGTGTGAGAGTGTGGGGGGTGCGAGCCAGGAGAAAGAGGGAGGGAGAACTTGTACTTACGCTACAACAACACACCCCACACCTGATATACACGCATTAGGAACCGGGGAAAGAAGTAGGAAAAACACCTGAAGTTAACTCCAACCCAAACTACAAAGAAAAAAAGCTTTAATCTATTTTTTAAGCAGCAATAAAAACAGCTAATGTAGCTCTTGCCAAGAAATAAAAATGGAAGATGATTGATATGCACTATAATACGTGACACATATCAATACATAATAAGTGAAAGTACTTTGTTATATATTTTAAAATTCAGCTTTCATTTAAACTACGGCGAGGAGAGCCGGCCAAACAGCTCAGCAGATGAAAGCACCTGCAAGCAGGCGCAGGGGCCGGGGGTTCGGTCCCTGGGCCTGCCATGCTGGCCCTGCCCCAGGGGCGCACTGAGACTGCAACTGAGACGGCCTGGTGGCGCGCCTGTAATCCCAGCTCTGGAGAGGCTGTAAACAGGAGGATCATGAGGCCAATTTGGCAGTGCGACCCTGAACACTCTGTAGACCCTTTCCTAAATTAAAAATAATAATAAATTATTTTTAAAAATAAACTATGGCAAGTGACAGTGATTAGAAAGAAGCACTATCCAGTGCTGCGACTTCTTTGTGAAGGGGTGAGGCCACACCGTCTGTGGGCCACAGGGCCTCACTCCAGCTCTAAGGCTCATCTTGTCTCTGACAGACACGGACCTGGGAACCAGCCGCAGGCAAGGACACAGCACCCCGAGGATGGCTGAAGTGTCAGGAGTGTGAGAAAAGTTCTGTACATTCACTGCTTTGTTCTACAACCTTCCCCTCCCTCTTTTCTCGAAATGGTTGAAAACGTCGGCAATAGGCCCCTAATCCTAATCCTAATTAGCTCGAGGGAATTACACAGCTGAGAGACCAAGCTCCTGGCACAAGCGGGGAGGAAAGCAACACTGACATCCCACACGGGCCTCCAGCCCTGCTCCAGCGAGGAGATGGCTCCAGGCAGCCCCTTGGCCCCAGGAGCAGCCGCCGCCTAGCCTTCCAGGAAAGCGCCCCTTGCCCTGGCATGGCCAAAGCCGCCTGCCATGTTCCCCCAAAGCCACCGCTCCCCACAGGTGCCCACCTGGCAACCCCGCTGCGGTTCTGTGTTCACTGGACTCGGAGCTAGGAGCCTGTGTGTGGACTCCTTACTTCTGGAAGCCACAGTAGGAAGAGAGCCCACTTTTGGGTCACGCTGACCCTTGGCCAGAAGCCTGATCTGTGGCCTGAGGGGCAGCGTCTCGGGGCAAGTGACTTAGCGTCTTTGTGTCTGCTTCTCATCTATAAAGACAGTGCAAAAAGCTACCTTCCAGTGCTCCTGCAGACACCTGCTGGCCCTCACGCCAGTGGGCGCAGTAACCAGAGTAACCAGCAAGTGGGGTCCCCGGTGTCTACAACAGAGACCAAGGCCGAGTCTATGTCGGCAGCACCGAGACCATCGCCAGCGGGGGCCTCCAGGTGGCAGGAGCTCACGGTCCACAAAGCTCTCGCTCACTGGGGTGGGGATGTGTCTCTGACGGGAAAGCTGCTAGCTTACTTCCCAGACTGTGAGACGTCCACAGGCCCCTGCTCGCAGCAGAGTGCATGCCCGAGTGCCACGAGTGATGGCGAGGCTCCAGGACACTGCTTAGAAAACAACTCCGAACGCTTTGCTGTATCCTGGTCCACAGTGAGAATCTGGTGCCTAAGTGCACTGTGATCATTTTTGTCTGTAGTCTGAAAAAAGACATTATAATAAAAGGCAACATTTAAAACTGTGTTTAAATAGATCAAAGATCTAAATATTAAAACAGAAACATTAAATATGCTAGAAGATAGGTGAGGTAAAACTCTTAGAAACACTGGGGTAGGGAAAGAATTCATGATCAAAACCCCAATCGCACAGAACGATCACAACCACTCAGCAACTCATCTTGTTGTCTCAGCTTATTAAAAAGCTTTGCACAGCAAGAGAAACCACCACCAGCCGAAGAGACACCCACGGTGTGGCTAAGAGTGCTTGCCAGCTGTTCCTCAGATAAACGATCGCTATCTAGAACAAAGAGAACTAAAAAAAAATCAGACCTCCCAAATTTATTTTTTTTTATTTTTTTTAATTATTTATTTATTTATTCCTTTAGTGTGTGTGTGTGTGTGTGTGTGTGTGTGTGTGTGTGGCCAGCTCAGCCCACCAGGGGGCGGGGCTGGCTGGCATGTGGTGCGGTCCCTGTGCTTTGCCAAGCTTGTTCCAAGTAGGTGCTTTAGACCACCGAGCCATCTCTCCAGCCCCAGACCTCCCAAATTTAGAAAGACACAATAAAAAAATAGGCATTTGTGATAAATATACACTTAGATGAAGAAATACAGATTTTGACCTTCCTGATTACATAAAAATTAAAACAATGCTGAGATTCCATCCATCTCACTCCAGAAAGAGTGGCTATTTACTATCAAGAAATCAACCAGTAACAAATGCTCTAGGGGCTGAGGGGACAATGAAACTTCTCCACTGTTGGTGGAAGCGTGGACTGGTGTAACATGGTGGAAATCAGTATGAGATTCCTCAAAAAACTAGGATTGTCAGTTTCACTTGACCCCACTACCCCCCTTCTCGGCATCTTCCTGAAAGAATTAAAAGCATGATGCTGTGGTGACACGCGCTCCCATGCTTACGGCAGCACAGTTTATAGTAGCCAAGTCTTGGAGACGACCCAAATGCCATTATTGGTGAACGGAAAAAGGAGATGTGGGTTTCAAACAAAACCAAAAACAACGGAGTCCTACTCTGCCATAAAGAAAGGCAAGCCTGAGACATTTCTAGGTAAATGGAGGCACTTGGAGATCAGATACATGTGTACGTACTGCACTGCTTCTCAGTGTGAGAAAGCGAAACGTTAATAGGAACCATAGTAACAGATACTGTGAAAAAGGAAGAAAATGTTCAAGTGGGGAGAGGAAAAGGAGAGGGGAGAAGTAAAGAATGGACAAGTGAAAAATGAGAAGTGAAGGAAAAATGGAAACAATACTTTTGTAAATAGGGAGGTGTCTTGGTTACTGTTCTCATTGCTGGGACAAAATACCCGATACCCCAAATTAAGGAAGCAAAGGTTTATTTAGCTCAGTTAGTGGAGGTTTTAATCCATACTCAGCTGGCTCCAAGGTAGAGTGGCACATGGCAGAGGGCAGCCGTTCGTGGCGGAGGAAGACAGCCAAAAGCAAAGGGAGGAGCAGCGGCTGAGGCTGCTGGAAAGCTCTCTCCCCTCCTCACAGTGTTCGGGCTGTCAGCCCCAGGGCAGGTGCAGCCCTCGCATCCACAACCCCAGCACTGGATCATGAATCAGTCCAACTCTAGCAGCCGCGCCGTGACCACATGAGGCTTCTGGGGGACACCCACATACAAGCCTTCACAGGAGGGGAGGAGCAGCTGAAGGGGGGTAGTGAAATGGGAAAAAGGAATCAAGTCCTGTCACAGACAGGTACAAATTCTCTGATAGATGTGATCACCGTGTATATGTAAAATGTACCAATAAAATCTGATTGGAAGAACTGTGTTTAAAAAGATTTAAAAGCACAGTCACAAAGGAAGTTATCCTAACAGACATGGTCTTCCGCGACATGAGAAGTATGGTCTTTAAACAATACACTGCAAAAGACTTACAGAGAGTGGCTTCGTTATGGTTGATGTCCAGTTGTCCCCCAAAGCCTCATGCAGGCATGGGGCGGCTTCTGGTGTCTGTGCCTGATTACTGTGGGTGTGGATGCTGCACCAGCCCCGGGGCAGCATCTGCATTACACTGTTAAGGAGGCGACAGGCTGGCCAGCTGCCTGGCTGCTGCTTCTCCTTTGTTCGGGCCCTCTGCCATGTACCACCCCACTTCGGGGCCAGCTGCGTGTCGATTGATACCTCCGCTGACTACAAGTGAAATAAACCTTTCCTTCCTTCATTTTGGATGTCAGGTATTTTGCCTCAGCAATGAGAGAAGAGTAACTGAGACAGTTTTAGCTGGTAACACAACACAAAAGTATCTCTTTTTTTTTTTTTTGGCAGAACCGGGGATTGAACTCAGGCCCTTGCCCTTGCCAGGCAAGCACTTACTCTATTGAGCTATCTCCCAGGCCCCCAAAGTATCTCTTTATGCAGTAAAATTCAATTTCTTACCTTTGTGAGGAAGTCCTGAATTTTTATTTTCCAACAGTTTTTGTTTTGTCACTTTTGTCACTAAAAGAAAAAATCCCAAGAATTAACATAAAATATGAATAATTTCTCAGAACAATTTTATAAGGAAAATAATTCAAAATAATACATATCTATAGCTATCACATCTAAAGTACAACATTTTTTTGGTCTTTTGAGGCAGGGTCTCATTATGCGGTTCAGGCTGGCCTTCAACTCCCTTTGTAGTCCAGACTGGTCTCAAACTTGCAGCACCCCTCCCGCTTTAGTCACCCAAGTGCTGGGACGACAGACGTGTGCTGCCATGCCCTGCTGTACAATGGTTTCCTAACTATTGTATTTTTATTTATTTATTTATTTATTATTATCTTTTGTATTTTAGGGAAGGCCCTATAGGGTGTTCAGGGTCTCACTACTAGATCAGACTTGTAGTGATCCTCCTGTTTACAGCCTCCTGAGAGCTGGGGTCACAGCACCAACGCCCAGTCTCAATTGCCATCTCAGCACGCCCCATGGGCGGGGCCGGCATGGCAGGGGGATCGAACCCCCGGCCCCTGTGCCTGCTTGCAGGTGCTTTAATTTGCTGAGCTATGTGGCTGGCCCAACTGCTGTATTTTTAAAATGAGCTCCACAGCCAGATGTGCCTGTCTGCCAGCACCCTGAGAGGCTAAAGCTGGAGGATGACAAGTCAAGCCCAGCTGGGCAACACAGGGCAGGGGATGCAGCTAGACGTGCAGGCCTCGGGATTCCAGGACACAGTCTTTTTCTCGGGCCCCAAAAGGTGTCCCTGAAGCAACGAATCGGCAAACACACGGCTTCTTCCTAAAGACGACGACAGTGCTTCCGGCATGTGCTCATGGTGGTGTGCACACAAGAAGTCTCTCAAACTTAAACCAGAAAAAAGTAAGAGGCTTATGCTTAAAATTAGTACCCCGAAAATGCAAAAGTTTTCTTACGTAGCTCTTTGGTTTTCTTGACTTCTTTTCTTAAGAACCGCAGCATAAAGGGAGTGCCCAGGAGATTTTCAAACTCCTTGTTGCCCTCTAAGGCCTAAAAGAAAGACCTGAAGTGAGTCAACTGTGCCTCTGCAGAAGCGAGTTCCAGAGGAGAACGCGCACGGGCTGGCTCCTTCACCTGAAAACTGTGACCTCCGCGTCAGGAAATTAACTGTTACTGGTATGTCAACTACTGCAAGCCTTAAATGCCTGAATATAAAGAACTTACTGACTAAAAAGATTAAGCATAATCTACACATTGATTTTCAAATGTGGAAAAGCTAGCTGTTATAGTACTAAAATATTATGGCTAGCGCCAGAGAGAGAGCTCAGTGGACTGAGCGCCTGCCTAGGCAAGCGCAGGGACTGGAGCTTGATCCTGGCACCGCCTGCTGCGCCGATCCCACCCCTGGGTGCGCTGAGCCGGCCACAGAGATTGGGCATGGTGGCACACACCTGTAATCCCAGGGCTGGGGAGGCTGAAAACAGGAGGGTCACCACAAGTCCGAACTGTGTGGTGAGACCCTGTACAAAACACACACACACAAAACACAGACACACAGACACAGACACAGACAGACAGACAGACAGACAGACAGACACACACACACACACACACACACAATTATGGCTAAGTGGTAGTCATCTAAGCAAAGCATTCCCACAATAGTCAATGAGACACGTCCTTGCACACCTGTGGGGCTGGCGGCCAGACGGGCTTCTCTCCTGTTCTCTGCACAGAAGGGGCAGTGGAATATGAAAGCCTATGCAAAGATATGTAAATAAAATTAAAAAGCCGACCCGGAGGCTCCTTAGGTTGTGCATCGCCTTCATAATTTCCTCCATTGATTTCTCAACTTCAGAGACTGCCACCAGGAGCCTAGGAAGGAACAGAGGCAAGGCTGAGGACTCGAACGCAGTGAGGCCCCTCCTGGGCTTTCTGCCACCGAGGAAACTGGGGTTCACTTTGCTCAGCTCTCCTCACAGCGTGTCAAAGCAGTGAATGATGCCACGGCTTTCTCCCTCCTTCTCTCCTCCCTACAACACCCGATTCCCTGGCTCTGCTGTGTCCTGGTCACCTCAGCAGCAGGAGGGCCGTGCTTATCCTCCCTGGGGGACACGCCTTGTGGGGCCAGGACACCCTGCTCACTTATTTGTCTTGGTCCAAACCTGTGAAGTATATCACTCTTTTAAAAAATAAAATGGTGAGAAAGAAAAAGAAAAAAACAAAAACAAAAAAGGTGAGCTTTATGGATTATGTATTTCTTTCTCTTTTTTTGGATTATGTATTTCTTATACATAAGGTTTACAGAGTCAGGGAGAGAGCTCAGCAGCATAAGCACCTGCCTGGAAAGTGCACGGTCCTGAGTTTGATCCCTGGAGCCAAAAAAAAAAAAAAAAAAAAAAAGATTTATAATCTTTTAAATTTGAAAATGAAAGAAAAAACCCATGTGTAATCCCATCTTCTGAATATATCTCTACTTAGCATTTTGGAAAAATTTTCCTAGGTTATAAAAAATTCCAAGTTTAGACCTTGCTTTCTTTGCTCATCGTAAGGTCTCTCACGCACCGAATATCTGCTACACGACGGGCAGCCGACAGCCAGCGAGCACACGGAGCAGGGCGCTATGACCGTTGCTTCGTCACTGCAGTTTTATCCCCTTTCCAATTTTAAGGCCCCATCCCGAGAACCTGTACTGACGCAATGCAAGAGAAAGCTACGTGTGAAATTTAAAAGTTGTAGTAGCTACATGGACAAGAGTAAAAAGAAAGAGGTGTGCTTAATTTTAATAATGCACCCAAAATACTATTCCATCAATAGCAGACCTGTTTAAAAAGGTGGTGTGGTGAAGTTCACAGTTCTCTCCTTTTCCTCAAAAAGGAGAGCCTCATCATTCTGAACAACTGATGCTAGACTCTGCAGCCAGGTGAAGTGTGCGGGAGGCCTTGGTGTACCCATTAATTAAACTTGCACTTTCCTCTCTGCTAATTTTTTTGGTCTCAAAAAAGCAATGTGTAACTTGTCTTTTAAAACTACCATTCCAGGACCGGCCAAATAGCTCAGCAGATTAAAGCACTTGCTTAGGCAGATGCAGGGGCCAGGAGTTCAATCCCTGGGTCTGTTGTGCTGGCCCCGCCCCTGGGCCACTTGGAAGGCTGTAAATAAGAGGATCACTACGAGCCTGATCTACTCAGTGAGACCTTGTAGACCCTGTCCTAAAATACCAAAAACAAAACAAAAAACCCTACCATTCTGTCCTATTGAGTGTAATAAAGAAAATACAGAGAATATTTACATTAAACATTTTACTACAGCGAGGACCCTGCCACTCATCGCCCTCAACTTACGTGCCCTGTGCGCAACACAAGTGCCGTCACTCAGGCCCTTCCTGGAGCAGTTCTGGAGTCTCAGGACCACGCGCACACTGGCAGCCACATGCACATGCATGTGCACACACACCCATATTCAGTCAGTGCTGGAGGGACATTACGTGACTCCGAGCCCCAATGCTGCTTAAGTCGCCTTTTACTTATTTGTTTGTTTGATATAGGGTCTTGCTACAAAGTCCAGGCTGGCCTCACACTCACAGAAATCCTCCTGCCTCAGCTTTCCAAGCACTAGGATTAAAGGTGTACACCACTATGCCCAGTTACTCGATAATTATTTTCTTTCACAAATTACTGAGAAAATACTCTAACCAACCTCTACCTTCCCCATACTAAATTTAAACTCTTTCATTTCTATCTTACTTCTCTATTCATATAGTGCTTACTCTTTAAGGACGCAAACTCTATTAGAAAAAAAAAAGGATGCAAACCCTTGATTCCATTACTAGAATCTGTTATCCTAAGTTACGATGGCTAAGAAGCTATTTTTATAGCCCCGTAAGACATGAACGTTACAGCGGATAGCAGGGATGAAAGCACGTTTACTGTCACAACACTATGACTTATGCAGAAGAAAGTCACGGGCCGCTGAGCACTTAGTTAACTGTCTCTAAACGGCTTCGGGGCTACTTGGATTATGATCACACAAATACATCCAAACACCTTTACGTTCTCTGTAAGCTCAAGGCACTGTACGTGTCACTTTCAAGTTACGCCTCAGTTTTCAAAACAGCCCTGGGATAATTATTATATATCTGTATCTATATACATCTGCACAAAATCATGTAACTACTTAGAATTACAGGACTAGTTCGATGAATACAGGCATGTCTGACCCGCGTCCTGAAACGGTCACATACCATCTCACTTGCTACCGGCATCAGCACTTCCTGGACCACGTGCTAAAAATGCACATTTCTGGGCCACGCCCAAGCACTGCTCTCAGACAACAGCTCCAGGTGGGAGCTGGACCAGCGGCCCCCAGACGCTCCGCAAGTAGAGCAGAAGTAACGAGGAGCATTTTTCTGGTGATGAGTCCAATTTTTAAAATTTGTGATCAGTACAACTGACACTTCTCATCAAAAAAAACTTCCCTTGTGTTTAGGCCTGGTTGTCATATTATACATTGTAACAGGTGTAAGAACATCATTCCAGGGCCAGGGAGAAAGCTCAGTAGAATAAGCACCTGCCTGTCAAGCACAGGGTCCTGAGTTCAATCCCTGGGAACGAAAAATAAATAAAGAACATCCTTCCTTCTTCGTCGTGAACGATCTTCCACTAATGAGCATCTTACACGTTTCGCGTATCCACTCATTTGCTGCTAAACACTTGTGCTCTCTGCACCTAATGTGCATGTGAACTGCTATGCCGGCCTGGCGCACACACGCCTGCTTGAGTCAGCGCCCGCTCTTCTGAGCATGGACCGGCCCACGAGCTACACTTTCCGAGGAACCCGGCCTCTGCTTCCGCAGGAACCGCCATGTATAGGTGCTCCAGTTTCTCCACGTCCTTGCCACGTGTTTTCCCAGTACACTTGGTTCTGATTTTTATTCTTTTAACAACTAATTATGTTCAGTATCTTTTAATGTACTTATTGACCACCTGTATCTCTTATCTGAAGTGATATCTAAAGTC